TCGATGTCCTAAACATCGGACCGGCAACGTTTAAGAAATCTGAAGTCTAGTATTTCTGTGTGTTATTATCACAAGAAAGCAGTTCGAAGTCTTGAACCTCGGATTGCTCACTGAACTAAGCAATTAGAGGTTCGGGACTTCGGACCATCCTCTAAGTGAGGGAAAAAAAGTTAAAAGAATTTAAAATCGGTTCGATGTCAGAGCGGCCATCTAAGAAAAAAACAAGGGGAAGCAAGTTAATCGAGTTAAAAAATGGAGTATTTATTTTTCTTTCCTAGCCGTAGGTAAATACTTCTCATCTATGTGAGGAGAGTGAAAATAGTTCTTCACCCGCTCTTTTGTACAAATGACCAAACAATTGAAACGCCTCCATATTGACCTAAGCTATCCCACCTAAAGCATTAAGGGCTTAAAAAGGAAATGTATACATCAATATCATTTACTCATGGTACAAGAAAGTGACAATAATCATTGAATTGAGTAGGATAAGCGATTCCAATTTAGACTATGACGGCTTAAAAACGAAAATATTGTATGCATCATTCGAAAATTGAATCTAGGCTTTTGATGTGGCCAGCAGATTAAATTGCGAAGAAGCAGCTCTGATCTACAACAAAGTGGTTCAATGCAATTCTATGGCCATAGAGAGTACAAATGTTGCTTCGTGGGCTTGATGTATCTTCAAAACGATGTTCAGAAATTTGACTTGGTCAAGGTACTCAGGCCCTGAGGCAATTTATTCGGGAGAGTCTATATAACTCGTTGAATTTCAGCTCTTTTTTTTTTTTTTTTAAGAAAATGAATATAAAAAATGGTTATATATAGAATGAGCACCACTTTTTATCAACCAAGTAGTAGATTGGCATGTTAGTTAGTGCCTTGTGTGTAAATATACATCTTTACCAGAGATCTTAAGTTCCATTTTAGTGGAAGGCATTCTAACGTATCTGGTTTAAATTTTTGAGATTATATAAAGAAAAAGTTTATATAAGGTTGAGCACTAGTCAACAATTTCAAATAAGTTTCTCTTTTTGGTATATGTACTCTGAAACATATGTTTGAACCAGAGCATTAATTCCAGTATATTCCCAAACGCACAAAACACAGTTTTCAATAAGCGTGCTTGATATTTTCAATCCAAAATGGAATTCAGCCTAAGGGAGACTTTGTGTTTAAGCTCCCGTATTTAATCAGAAAATTTGGATTTAATCTCTTCAAAGCCTTCAACAGCACAAAAGAGACCACTAGAAAGAGCATTTTACTTGCATGAATGAAAGGGGACACTTTAGCACCGAGTTTGCGGGTCTCTTTCTGCCATATCTATCGTAAGAGTAAGGATATAGCTGATGGTCTCTTGCTAAGCATGGAGTTCACTTTTCTACTTTGTTTATTTTTAATGCTTTAATACCCTGTTTGTAATTTCATGCTTTTTAAGCACTTATCTGATATAAGCTCTCAACATTTGTCAAAAAAAAAAAAAAACCTATGGGGAGACCTTAGCACCATTATTGGAGAGAACAATATTGGAAGAGAGGATAAAATACAAAGAAATAGTTAGGGCCTTGTGTAGCACCATCAATACTCTTTCTCTTATTTAGAAAAAGTGCCAAATCTGCGCCCTTTATTTTGTGTTGGTGCATAAACGGCATGCATACAACAACAAATAGCAAAGTCACATGGATCGGACGAACCGGTGAAGGGTCTCATACAATCAACATTGGTCCAACAGTTTGGTCAATCTAGTTTGATTGGAATTTAAATATATTAAAAAAAAGTTGCCCACTTTATTTGTTTAGTCGAAATGGTCAAATTTGGCTAATCTGATCGATTAAAACCTATCGAACACTAATTTTGACTAATTTTTTACTCAACTCAATATTTACTCTAGATTAGACCGGTCAAGACACCAGTTATCAGTCCGACAAGTTAACTAAAAGATTTACACATCACTTAAAGAAAATTTTCTTCCGAAAAATCAAAATAAAATTCCAAAAAATGGCAATATATAACTGCACAGTAAACGTACGAATTCTAGCATATGCATTGCATAAAGTCAAGAAGCTTTAATAAAGATTTATATTCTCGTGGGAGCATTTCCTCAATGCTCCCCCTCACGCAGAACACGACATTAGAGTATTTTTAGAAAAATAAAACATACTAGATGTCCACCTAAAAAAAATTGTGTTTTATTATTGAAACATCCAAAATCGAACACTCATATCTCAGTATTTACGACACGAAGTTTAAATATTGAATAGTCATCTATCCCAAGCAGATTCAAAGAGCGGCTCTTTTGCATAGTAAAGTTTACAGTGTACTATCACAAGAGGAAAAGAAAAAAACTCATGTTTGATTTGAAACTAAGATATGGATGCAAGCTCTTCCCTTCTAAATCAGATAGTTTTGGATATGAAAGAGGCTAACAATAAGTTCTTTCAAACTTGACTTTTTATTTCTCTGTTAGAGATATTCCAAAAATTTGTAGGTAAATAGTTCTACAAACGAATGGACCGGATCAAGTTGGTAAATGGGAAAGATTTTTATTTTCGCTTTGCGAGAAAGAAGACATATTCAGATTGTACTCATTTTTGGGTTGAAAGAATTGAGGTAGCCCATACTTTCAATAATCACACATGTGACCTCCAATCTAGGAGACCAGGAGGTAAACTCCTGCGTTGAGAAAATGGAAAATGGGTGCGATTACAATGGCCGTCATCGGTGTAATACACAGGCCATAAAAGGCCCTATTTGGCAACTGGGATAGCTCTTGTCTTAGAAAATCTCTGGAAAATTGGAACTCTGAGAAAAAAAAAGTAGAAGTAGAAAGCTCTGAAAGCTGAGAAGCTTGTTTAGTAACTTGTATATGTAAACGGGAGAAAACTCGAGCTAGAACTTGGGCATAGAACTTGGGCAAAGAGATAAAAGGGAGAAGAGATCATGAGGTCAGAGAAGTACAAAGAGGATGAAGGACGTCCTGCATTTCTCTCTTTTTATGAGAAATGGATAGCTTATTTTTTGAGATAGAGACGAGGGTGAGAGTGATTTTTTTGACGAATATAGCATCAAATGTTTTTATACTTCCCCTATAATATAGAAGATCTATGCTTTCCCTACCATCCAACCGTCCAATTTTGATCAAGGGAGCCACTCACTTTTTGATGTTAGATCCGACGTCTCAAAATATTTTATTTTTATTTATTTTTATACAAATTGTATGAATATGAAATTTGGTACGTGCCATCTTCTCATTAGGGCTCACCTACAAAAAATATTAAAAATAATTTTTTTATAAAATATAATGACCAAAATACTTTTTGAAACTTTTAAAAGTATTTTGGTCATTTTACGTTATTGAAAATATTGTTTTATATTTTTTCGTTAGTGTGAGTTTAATAGAGGATTGGACATACAAAGATTGATGTTAAAATAGTTTGGAGAAAAAAAATTAAAAATAAAATAGTGTAGAGATGTGACATTGTGATTGGGGCAATCTTAACCCTCCATTTAATTTGTAGAAAAAAATTAAAAATAAAATAATATAGAAATATAACATTGTGATTAGAACAATCTTAACCTTCCATTTAAAATAGACGGTTGGATAAAGAGAAGTATATAAATTTTATGTTGTAATGGAAGCACACATAAAACTTGCCATAGTAAAATCTTTCAAAGTATACAATTATTTAATGCGACACCAACTTTGCAAAACATCACGGAGTGTTCAACTTCTTGAAATGTCACTCATAAATGAAAATTAAGTATTAACTATTCCAATATTGCTCATAAATGTAAATTTCGCGTTAAATATTCCGGTCTCAACGCTCAGGCGATGGCGTATAAATGCTCCCAAGGCAATCTTTTCAAGAGAGAACAAAAAGACAAGAGGACATCTGCTATGCTCCCTCGGGAGCATAGTTTATTTCTACTCGCTTGGTCAAAAAAACGTACTTAGTATCATTTTTTAAAATATGAAATTTTGGAGACCACTTTATTTATAATCACGATTATTTTTAAAGAGATAAATTTTGAAATTAAAGTTTTTCAATACTTAGCTCTTACCATTAGACACTTTCAATTTAATCATGAGACATTATTTTTTTCAAATGCTTAGAGGGTGTAATTAGGAGTTTATTTTTCATGAAAGTTAATGTATGATTATATCACAAAAAATTTGGATCTAAAACTAGTCGTAGATGGGGTTTTACCAGAGAAAGCAAATAAACAGTATACTCTCGAGGGAGTAGAATATCTTTTGGCAAAAAAGGTTCTTAGATGGATGGTCTACATCAAACTCCACCCTAAAGAGCAACCATCCAGACCGTGCGATTGTCTACCCCGCGGTAAATGAGGTCCGGAAAGCACAGGTAATTAGATGTCAGTACAAGGGCAATTTCGTCATTTACCTAAACGAGGAGCAAACCATCAAAACGGTCATATCTCGTGAAGGGACCTGCCACAAATAAAAAGTAAATGAGGGTGAGACAGTTATTTATTCAGTTTTCCAGGGTTATGACAGTAAAAAACGAGCACGTCCTATGCTGCAGTGAATTTTTTTGAAATTCAGCAGGTCGGAACTTCTCGAAATCCACGCCTTTTTCGCACTCTCTCTCCATCTCTAAATCCCAAACTAAGGGGAAAGTTTATATATAGCTGAGGCTTTAAACAACAAATTAAAGTTTACTTCAAAAAAAAGAGTTTATTTTTATGCTCAAATATCTTCAAATTGATTTTGGCATCAAGATGAATGAACATTAAAACAAAAATAGATTTCAATTTTGGGATATAGTGTATTTTGTAAGATATTTTATTAATATTAATTTTTAATATTTTCAAGTTGTAATGTGATGTGTGCATTATTTTTAAAACTTTAGACTTTATAAATAAATAAAATAAAATAAAATAAAATAAAATATTTTAAAGGTATAACAAAGATTTTCGGACTTTGAAACCACATTTCTCAAGAGGTTTAATTTTACGAACCGCACCCCGTACAAAATCCTCTCTTTCTTAAACATTTACTCATTTGTCTTTTGTTTAAATCGGATCCACGAGGAGAAGACCGTTCCTCGGCATTCGTGTACCCTTCCCGTCTTCTTACCCCCTCTCTCCTTATCTTCCTCTCATCCCGGTATTCCCTTTCGTCCGAAACCACCCCTGTTTACCTTCTGCAACTCTTTTCTCTGCAACAATGTGGTGTTAATGAGGAAGAGCCAGAACGTACCCAACCTTGAATACGCAACACCTGCAAATACGCATTTAGCGATGGTGGCAGGCAAAGTGAAGAACGCGATGGGGCTCCAGAAGAGCCCTGCAACTCCCAAGCCGAACAACAACCCTCAGAAGCCCATTTTTTCTCGCTCTTTTGGTGTTTATTTCCCAAAAGCTTCGGCTCAGGTTCAGCCGAAGCCGCCTGATTGCGCCTGTAATGGCCAGGATGTGGCTTCGCTGTTGCGCTTCATTGATCAGCTCCAAGAGAATCAGTCGAGACTTCAGACTGAGCTCCTCGAGTTCAAGCTCCTCAGAGAATCGGTCAAGGTTTTCGAGAGAGAAGTGGCGTCCAAAAATGCGGTGCTGAAGAGTTTGGCGGAGGAGAATGAGAGGTTCAGATGTGAGGCTTTAGAGAGAGAAAAGGCCTCTGAGAACACAATGCAGATGACTTTAGAGGAGGAAAACGAGAGGCTGAGAAATGAGGCCCAGGATTTGAGCTCTGAAGTGGCAAGGTTGAAGGCCAAACTCAATGAATGCTCGTGTTCGAATCAGTTTCAGGGACTCATTGATGTCTCTGCTCGATCGAGTTTGATGAAGAGTTTGAAAAAGGGGATGAATGGTGAGCAGAGAGAGAGTGTGAGTTCTAGTGTGAGCCAGGAGGGCCCGAGAGTGGACCCACTGGAAACTGGCCAGAGTCTGAAAAATGCTGGCGATTCTCAGGCAGAACATCTGGAAATAGACCAGAATCGTGAGGCTTCCAGTGAGTGCGATGAGGAATTGCCGGAAAACAGCACGAAACTGGACGGTTTTGCTGAGTCTGTGGCAGAAAAGCTGAAGCCTGCGGTTTCAAATATACCAAAGCCTCCTCCTTTGCCTCCTTTTCCTTCCTCTTCCTCTTCTATTTCTTCATGTTCTTCTTCCTCTGTTTCTTCTGCTTTTTTAGATAGAGCAAGGGTTGATGGTTCCTCTTCTGGTTCAGAGAGAGAAAGGGTGGCATGTTCTTCTGGTTTAGAAAGAGAGAGCAATAATAAACTGATATTTCCCCCTCCTCCTACCCAGTCTAGGGCGGAGAGAGCGGCGGCGCCACCCCCTCCCCCGCCACCTATGCCTGCAAAGCTGTCTCGCTGTGGTTCTATGGTGAGGCGAGTTCCCGAAGTAGTCGAGTTTTACCACTCACTAATGCGACGCGACTCGAAGGAGTCGAAGAGGGAATCTGGACCCGGGGTTTCCGAGATCCCAGCGGCCGCGAACGCGAGAAATATGATCGGAGAAATCGAGAATCGATCCTCGCACCTCCTCGCTGTAAGTGTTGGTCCTCCTCCGACCCGAAGGAAAAATTACAATGTAGCCCCTTACTTTGTTCGAAAGGACGAAAATGCTCTTCCCCCTGATGCTTAGAGATGCTTTACTGGCAACTTTTAGACAGTCTTTCTGCTTGGAGTTTAGAGTTTAGAGTAGCAGGTGAGAGAGTAGGTTGTCCTTCTCCTTATCAGGGAAACGGCCAAAAGCACCCGTGATTATTGTGGGGTAGGGCAACAGGCCAGACCTGCCCAAGTCCGGCATGTTCCCCTATCTCGGCTTTGGTCCGGGCTGGCTCAGGCCTGTCCTGGTTTCTGAGCGGGTTAAAGGGGCTCGAAGCCAGTCTAAGCCATATGGTTACAAAAAAAAAATACCAGTAAAAAAATAAGCGGGGCCTGTCCGGGCCAAAAAGTTATCATGGCCATGAGAATTGCGCTTTTTTGAGTAATGACAAGAAAAATGAAGCCCCTGCTGCTTTGTTGGAATTAGCGCTTTCCGCCCGTGGTGGGAATCGGTAAAAAGCAGGGGTGACAAATTGCCCGCTCCTTTGCTTCGGCAAGAAGCCAAGCCAGAGTAGACTATCATCCTTTTAGGAAAACGTGTAGGTATTTTTGGTCATTCCTCAACACCAAGGCCATGGCCGAAAGTTGCCACTGAAATTTTCAAGTGAATTCTCAGCTCCAAATTTCGGCTGATTTTCAGTTTTCCCTGATAAGGAACCATATTGCTTGAATAATTTGCGGCATTCTGATTTTTAGACAAGAATTTGGAGTTGGTCAATTAGACAAGAATTTGGAGCTCATAGGAGTGTTAGGAATATGGACCTTGTGCATTCAGAACCAACCGGTTAGATTCGAATACGGTACCACAAGATCCTGATTAATCACTGTTTTCGAGGTCACTTGGGGGTGGATCCCCACATGACCAAAGCCTGTTTTGAGTACAAACCTCCCCACTAATAACAAACCAGGCCGCCATTTAAAACTACTGGGAGGTTTTCTAAAAAAAATGGGGGCAGTTTTTATAAAAAAACAGGGCATTTGTTCTGGCCACAACAAAAATTCAAAAAAAATATAAAATTTTAAAATATAAGGGATCGGTTTTTAACGTGTTTTTTGAGTTGTGGCCATGAGTACATATTTTTACAATTTTTTCAATTTTTTTAGAAAATTTTGAAAATATACTTGGGCAGAAGAAATAGATTTTTTAAAATATATTTTTTTTCACCACGTTTTAACTTTATTTGGATTTTCTTTATTTAATCATGCTTTTAATATAGTTTTTATATTCTTTTTAGATTTTTTTCATTTTTTAACACTTCTTGGTCCGGCAGGGATAGACCGGTTGAACCCGTTTTCAGTAGCCGATTTGATTTTGTCTTAACACTGGCTCAGGCGGAACAAATATAGTTTAATTGGTAATAGAAAATAATGTCCAAAATTTGGCGGGTTGTGTATGCATGCAAGTTTGAAAGAATGCTTCTGAAAGTCCGGGTTTGTGATGACAGATAAAATCAGATGTGGAGAAGCAGGGGGACTTCATTAGATTCCTCATAAGAGAAGTACAGAACGCTTCCTTCTCCCACATTCAAGATGTCCTACCTTTTGTCAAGTGGCTTGACGACCAGCTCTCGTGCCTGGTCCCTCTCTATACCTTTTTCCCATTATTTTTTTCTTTTTTGATCAGTAAAGGAGGAAAAAGAAAGATTTTACAGACTGGGTCCTTTTGGTTTCTCTCTTACTGAGGGCTAACATTTTTGTAGGTTGATGAGAGGGCAGTGTTGAAGCACTTCGAGTGGCCAGAGCACAAGGCCGATGCCCTTAGAGAAGCGGCCTTCGGTTATTGTGACTTGAAAAAGTTTGAAGCTGAGGCCTCGTCCTACCGCAATGATCTTCGCCAGCCTTGTGCCCCTGCTCTCAAGAAAATGCAGGCTTTGCTCGAGAAGTAAGCCTCTGAATTCTCACTTAATTCTCTTATTTGTGCTATTTTGCAAAGATTGGTCTCCAAAGTGTCAAGTATTGATAGACTCAGTAACCCATGTCCTCTTTCTGAATTTCTTAACGTTTTCTGAATTTCTTAACGTTTTGTCTATTTTATTTTTTTTAATCTGAAGGATTATTAGACGGCCAAAATTTTGTTTATTACACTTGTTTTCTGTTGGTTACTGTGTTAATTGAGATTGGTTTTTGAATAATTGGTGGGGCAGATTGGAGCATTGCGTGTATAATCTTTCGAGGATGAGAGAAGGTGCCATCAAGAGATACAAAGGCTTTAACATTCCATGGGAATGGATGCTTGATACAGGCTATGTTAGTCAGGTACTGCTATCGAACCCCTCACTACCTGTGACCTATAGATGCCAACTTGACATTTTGAAGTCCTTTTCGGGCGGTTGCAGCTTGGAATTTGAGAGTTTTTTGTGCATTGTTTCCTTTTTAACTCTTCTTGAACATCTTACTCGAGCACTACTTTTTGTAGATATCGAAATTTCAGACCCTTGTTTATTATCCTCTTGATTGGTATGCTTTTGATGATTTTTCTTTTTTGATGCTCCTGATGAACTTCAACTGGTAGAAGTAGACACGCTAGATTTCAATGAAACATTGTGAAAATGAGCACCACCAATAGAACTCAACTCTATTGAGCCTGGTTAAGTTTCTAAAATTCAATCTTTACAGGCCAATAGAGGCACAAAATTTTGGATTCTGGAACATTTTAAACTAGATATTCTGATTCAGATGGGCAGCATACATTTTGAGGGAAGATTGTCTTTCTTTAGTAGTAAGCAAACATAGGTATTAAAGACTACGACATTTATAAGCAGTGGCTTCTACAATAAGTTATCCCTGGCCCCACATGTCTAATTGAATCATGTTTTCCTATGATTAAGTAGGATGAGAACCTATTTACAACCCTCCACACAACCCTCCCCTCCAAGAAAGAAAAAGAAAACTAAAAAATTGGATGATGCCAAATTTATCATCCTGGTTTGGTGTAGTATTGCACAATGAATTGCATCAAAGAGATTCTTCTTGTAAAGTTTCTAGGGGATGTGGCCAGGGCATACTTATGGATACTTTCCACTGGTACCTAAAACTGCAATTTCTTAAAGTCGTACTCATTATTTGTTGTTGTCTGCTAGCCAAACATCCAATTTATTGGCAATCTTTTTTTAAAATAGAAGATATACTTTACCGAATCTCCCTTGGGTTCGGGCAAGTGAGGGAGCAAAATGCAGAAAAATATGTTTATAATTCTTTGTATGAATGTACTTCAATTGACTTCATTCTAGGCTCCATTTCCTCATGGGAATGAACCGTGGGTTTTGCTTCCAGAGTGAAGTCCTCAATTCTTTGGTTCAACATCAAATGTTTACTAGCCCAAATATTTGCTAAAGGTTTGCTTTGCACATAATTGACTCTTCTGGTGTCTGATGGAAATTTTAGTGCTGCCCCAACATTATTCTTCCTAAACATTGGCTTTTGAAGGATGCAGACTAGCCATGGCCCATTGACAATGGATCATCATGAAATGGCTGATTACTGGCCATCATCTTGATCGTATTTGTCATCTTATATGAGACAAGTAATGCATTTAGGCACTTGAAATGGTATTGTTTGTGGTAGGGTAGTGCGAACAATTTAGAAAACATACTGAGGAGAAAAAAGAAGGCAGTGCTGGAATAAAGCAACAAAAGGTCATCAATTTTAGAAGGTAATTGAGAGTGGAAACCAAAGAATGAACTGGGATATGAAAGGTTAAGGATTTATATGGAAAAGGAGACATGAGCTTCTAGTGGCAATACCTTGGGATTGTGAAATGCATGGTCTTCCACCAAATTTTTTTTTACAGGTCCAAGCCTCTGATACAAATATGGAATGTAAAATATCAATCTTATTCCTCAGTTGTAGGGGTTCTATTTGTCCAATTAGAGTATGCAACCTGTCAATATCTATGATGTTGATATAGTATTGTTTTGGCTACACAATTAATCGGCTGACATAATGTCGGTCCGACCAAATTATTGATATTTTAGATTCTGATGGTTGAGTTTCTATGTCTACGTGACTCCTAGACCTATCCATATTGATTGGTTGCCCCCCCTTGCATCCTGGCCTGCTCTTTTTGTCACAACTTTTATTCTTACATTCCTCACTGCCTCAAACCCTTTTGTTCTGTCCCTATTGAAAATCTCACTACTTGTATCCCTTCCTATTGAAAATTTCACAACCTTTATGGGTTGTTAGTTCTTGACCAACATCTTGAATTAAAAAGGGATTATTTTCTGCAACCTATTGGTATCGCCGATAATGATAGGTAAGCTATAGGTTGGTCTTTCTGACAACTTATGAGGTTTATATATTTGAGTCAAATCACAACTTATATGGATAGATTGTATTGTTTTAGATAAATAATAGATTGTCACATTAGATGGATAAAATGAGAATGTTATGCCAATATGCCATGGCTTAAAGAGAATTTGTAGTGGAAGAACCTTGCCATTATCCTTTCATGCAGTAATCCTAGATATCATTCTAATAGGGAACAACTCATTGCAGAATCATTGCAGAATCTTGTTATCCTTATTGTAATGATGCCTAATACGAAGCAAAAGAAGCAGCAAGAGAGAAAAACAATAAATTTTATTAAATAACAAAGAAAGAGAGGACACAGGTCATGTTGAGAAGGCAATCCTCCTCAAGAGAGAAAAACAATAAATTTTATTAAATAACAAAGAAAGAGAGGACACAGCCTAATAAGAAGCAAAAGAAGCAGCAAGAGAGAAAAACAATAAATTTTATTAAATAACAAAGAAAGAGAGGACACAGGCCACGTTGAGAAGGCAATCCTCCTCAAGAGAATCTCAAAGTTCAATCGTTTTCCCATCACTATAAGATACACACTTTTTATAGCAAACCAGTTCTCCAAAATCATCCCATATATACTCCTAGTCATTAAGGAAAACTCCCATAATTCCTCAAACTCCTGCCCATTCACCCTTTGGTCAACTTTTTCAATTCAACATTGAAAGGATACTCATAAAAACTCCTACGAAGGGATTCATTGCACTCTACAACCCTTAGGCAAGTCTTGCCCTCGAATTTGGAAATTGGGAAAACTTTAGGTGGAGCACGGCTATTGCTTCCAAGTGGGAGTCCTCAGGTTCCATGCCCTTTCGATACACCAATGACTTCAGTTAATGCTTTATGTTTGTACTTGCCCATTCTAGGGTATTGCTAATGGCTTTAAAATCTGTATTTCGTCTTTTGAGTGGTGGGGAAAGTTGATTTTGACCGATGCCCTTGCTCCAACCTCCTTTTTAAAGCATATTACATGGAATCCTGGGTGGATCTTTGATTATTCTGGCAACTCTAGCTTATAATCAGTCTTGCTTATGTGTTCAATGACTTTATGAAGCCCATAAAATTTTGGAGTGAGCTTATTTGGCCTATAAATTGCCTTTGATGCTTGGCATTATGGTTGCAAACTTAGGAAAACAAGAATTTCGATCTCCCTGTCCACCTGTTTTTTATCTGCTTGATGTTTAAGTTCTAGGGTAAATGGATGTTTTCTTTTAAAACTCGTTAGATATGGTCATAGTTTCACATCCTTGTGTCAACTGGATAGATAATGGCGGCATCTTGAATATAGGAGGCCAACAAACCATTGCTTGGGTTGTATGAAACAAAGCAACTGAAATAAGTATTCAAGAATTTCTTGCTTTAGTTTGGCCATCGTTTTGAGGATGATAAGCCAATCTCATATTCGGCTATGTCCCTTGTATTCCAAATGGACTACTGGACCCCAAATGTTGCTCATAAAAACAAGATTGTGACCACTTACAATGGACATAGGCATCTTATGCAGCTTGATACATTGTTGAGGAACACTTGGTCTACGTAGGTGGCTTATTAAGGTGTGAGAGAGCATGGAAGTGTTAGAATTTGTGGGAGCATAGAATGGAGAGTGGAGAGAGAGGAAGAGAGAATACGACATTTACGTAGTTCAGGCCGAAGCCTTACGTCAACAGATCCAAAGCCCAATGGACTACATCTTCACTATTTTTGGATGAATGTTTACATCAAGAAGTACCCGAGAAATCCATATTCTAACACTCCCTCTCAAACTCAAGATGCTTTGACACAAAACAGCTGGAGTTTGAATAATACTAACTTACTAAAAAAAAAAAAATGAGTAGTGATCAAATCCATGATAAATTTCACAGGTTACTATGGTCTTCCAAGAAACAACATTTCTTGGGCTCTCTACTTTCTTGTAGAGACTTTCTCTCTTTAGGGTCTTGGGTCTTTCAAGAAAGAAGGTTACCATGGACTTCCAAAAAACAACTTTTCTTGAGCTCTCTACTTTCTTATAGGGACTTTCTCTCTTTAGGGTCTTGGGTCTTCCAAGAAAGAACCTTTCTTGGGCTCTTTACTTTCTTTTAGAGACTTTTTCTCTCTAGGATTTTTTTCTCTGAAGATCTTCTCTATCAGAGGCTTCTTTTCTTTCTAGAAGCTTTCTCTCTTTAAAAAAAAATAGATCTTTTCTTTCTAGAAGCTTTCTCTCTCTAAAAGAAAAAGATCATCACACAAGGTCTTCTTCTCTGAAGATCTTCTCTCTCAGAGGTTTCTTTTCTTTCTAAAGGCTTTCTCTCTCTAAAAGAAAAGGATCATCACAC